CACGGATTCAAGCTTTGAAAGTTTCAGAATTTTTACAATACATTTATATCACGACACGAGTACGCGCTGTCAGCCCATATCAGCCCGGCTCGTACGGGCAGAAGCGACAGGGCCGATGGAAAATTGAATGCCAATATCCTGCGGTGGAAAATGATTCTAATGTGTTTCTTTTTACAAAAAGCATAAAGTTCGCGAAAAACAAAAGAAAGTGCTTGCAAAGAGAGCGTCCTTCGAAAACATTCCTTCTCCGTTTGCCGATGGAGCGGTGCCGCAGGTGGCGCTACAATCGCTGTCCGACCGTCCCCGTTCGCGTGCGGGCAAACCGGGAAAGAGCGTTTTCGAACGACGCTCTTTCGTGGAGCTTGTCAACCGATATATCTAAGAACGTCCGGACCCTGACGGAAATAGCCGAGCTCCAACAATGCCCCGAGTGCAGGACGTGCTGAGAGCATTGCCAAGTCAGGCACTAGGCTACGATCAATATGGGCAGCACGCGGATCGAAGTAACACCTGGCAGCTTGTTCTGGCCACGAGGCGAGGACTTGGACGACGCGCTCCTTGACTAACAAAGAGTCTCTGGCGGGCAACTTGCAGCCCAGCGCGGAATTCCCACAGTCCACCAGGCGCTTGTTCGCAGATCTGGAAAGTTAGCAAAGCATCCACGCGCCGTATGCGCACTAACTCTCCAGATGGCACCTTCCAGAGGCTCTTTATTATGGTCTATGGAGCATTTCAGAAATGCGACTCTGGCCAGTTTTGTTTCCCAAGGTTACTCTGAGTCCGAATGCAAACCGATACCGTCCGCGAAATGAAAACACTTCACAGACTTAAGTAAACGAAACAAGCGCAAATATTCACGCTCCGTTATTCTCTCACGAACCGACTTTGGCGGCGTAGATAAGACGTAGCGAAAACGACGACAAAGTGGGTCTTAAAAGCCGACTGACGTCTTCTCCGCGGCCCCATCGCAAACACCACTTTGTTTACTGTTATTTCCGAAAGGGCAAGCACAACGAAGCATAAGGACTCCGATATGTATTCACTCCTCCTAGACAGCCGCCAAACAGACTTGAAGCACCAGAAAGATAGCAGAAGACGCCATTTATCTCTGGATGAAAGGCGTTCAGCTCCATCGGAGATAAAGCCTTCTTCCCCCCCCCCCCCCCCCAAAAAAAAAAAAAAATAAATAAAATAAATAAATAAAAACCCAGGGAAGATAAGTGACCGGGGAGATTCCGCATCGGACAAGTTGGACGATAAAGCTACCAAAATTAATAATATAAAAAAAAACACCTAATGGCGAGTTTTCACACGTACGCAGAGATTCTGCTCGAACTTTGGAGATAGATTCAATGCAGCGTTTCCACACGTCGTCACAGCGTACGATTCTTAATATTCGCAAGTGGCATTGTGGTGCTTAGAGCCGCCTGGGAATCGATAAACTACACCCACGAAGAAAAAAAAAAACAAAAAAAAAAAGTCATATAGTAACTTTAGGGCAAAGTGAACAAGGGATAGACGAATAGGAAAATTCATACGCAGCTAAAATTCTATTGCACCAAGACGCTTCGTTTAGTCATGGGCCTATTTTCTCTAGGGATGAAAATGCCAGTCATAAACAAGCTCGTCTGCACACTCGCTGTAGTTTAAAGCAAAGAACGTTTGTGTGTTGGGTAATACTTGTGGGGGGGGGGGGGGGGAGGGCTGAGTTGAGGCTTGGGTAATACTTGTGGGGGGGGGGGGGGGGAGGGCTGAGTTGAGGCTTGCATTGTGCAACATAGTCGGGTTACTTGCGTGTAAATAGCCATTCCAAGATATGCTGAGGACGGGCCGAAAGCCGCATTATGGCGACGGTCTGGTGAGTGGACATGTATCTCGTCTGTTTCACAGTCCGTTTGATTACTGCGTCTTACAGCAATGCTACCCGACACCTAAGCGTGGCAATAACGGGACGCACTACGAGGTTCTTGCAACTTCTAACATATTCTTCTGTCCGAAATTTTACGATGAGAAAGAACACAGTTCATTTTAAGTTCCAACCGGGTCGCGAGTGACGCGAAGGAACGGACGCACCGACAAATACAACCAGCATGCAGAGATACGTTTTCCGTTTTGCTTTCCATTCGCCGCCTTTCCCCAAATGGGAAAAAAAGAAACACACAAAAAACACGATATTGAGGGGCTTATGAAGAAAAGCTCAAAATGTCGGAACACATCGTTCCAAAGGGCAAGGAATGACTAGATCGTACCGGTTCAATGATGCGTTAATTTCGAGAAACTGTGAACAGTAACGGCCAATGTAGCGTTGATACTTACACATCGTAATAAAAAAAAAAAAATAGAACTACAATTACAGGTTTTTTTTCCAGAAAGAAAAAAATTAACGTGTTACGGTAGACGCAACGCGTCCCTACCCAAGACATCCCGTTGTTTTAGATTAATCGCATACCGAGCTCTGTCATTCGCTGGCATCCTTCTATCGTTCGCCGTTGGATGGATGGATGGATGATAATGGCTGTACCCTTGATAGCGGGGTGGGGGTAGCTTGCGCCACTGAGCCTAGATCGGCCGTGATTGGCTGTGTCCGTGTCCGCCAGGGAAGTAAACTTGTGGACCTTTTTGTACGGCATATGGTCATTGAGAGTTTAAGAAATACGGGGAGCGGCTTATCGTGTCTTGTTTCGTGATTGGCTCATTGGCTGTCTTAGCTGCCAGTTCCGCGATTTGATTGGTCGAGGAGAGGTAACAAGATATCTGGGATTAACCACGCTCTGTGTTTCGTTTGTCAGTGACTATACTATTGCACGAGGAACGCGTCTCCGACTGGTGTGTCTAGCCATAGCCGCTTCTATACTCACAAAGCCTGGCAGTTCGACGACGGAGCCATAGGGTGCCCGGTCGCAGATTTGGAGCGCGAGGATCTGCTAGCGCAGAGCATCAAAGAGCCATTACTCCGGGAACCGGGACGTCAGCGCACAGCTTTTGAAACGGCGAGGACCCGAAACACACTTGTTCGCTCGGGAGAAGTGTGTTTCGGCGTCTCGCCGCAGCGGGACTCCAGTCACGTGGCTCTCCTCTCATCAGTTGCCTGCCGCTCCACCTTTTCCATTTCAGCAGTCGCTTCTCGTGGCGATCTGCCAGGCTTTTAGGGGCGAAGCTCCTTAGGGGCTAGCCATGTCCGTATGTCCGTCCGCCGTCGGCTGTAAGTGCTCCGGCTCGTGAGCTCACGCGCTCTGCTCACGAGCACGTGAGCACGTGCTCCCGTGCTCGTGTAGGGCAAAAAAAAAATCAACAACCGCATCTCCACGCGGCGAATGATGTTGATTGGGGCGAAGCTCTGGTGGTGCTTGTCTGCGTAAACGCTGAGCCGCGGCACGCCGAGCCTTTCGTTCGTTTTCATCCATGTCAGAAAGAGAATGTGCGGTATGGAACGTGGTTATATAGGGAGTATTCACTGGCGGCCATAGCTGTGTGCGCGACTGCTGAGCGCGTGCTGATGGCGAGCTTCCACAGTTCTTTTGCAACGTGCATTCCTCACCCTCAAGATTGCCGGCCTTAGCAGCCTATTGATGTGAGCTCGTTCTGAGCATGCGCTCCAAACAGCACCCACGAATATGGCGTCCAGTGAATACTCCCTATACGCATTTGAGCATTTGACCGCAGCGTGACATGGATGAAAACGAACGACAGGCTCGGCATGCTGCGGCTCAGCGTCTACGCAGACAAGCACCACGAGAGCTTCGCCGCAATCAACATCATTCACCACGTGGAGATGCGGTTTTTCAGTATATCGGAGGCTATGGTCAAGCGCGACTAAAAAAGCGGTCACTCGATTTCTGCCTGTCGATGTCATAGAAGTGTCTTGCTGTCGCTGGTCACGATCCTGGCGGTGTCCCAGCAGTGGTGGGGGATGTGGCGGACGCCTGTTCTGCTGCAGGACGCTCTGCAGCTCGAAAGTCCACAGCTAGACAGTCAGCCAGGAGTTGGGACGCCGCGACGACATCGGCACTCACGTTCGGTCGTGCTTTCCGCCAGCAATTCTATGACCAACCACTAGGATTTCGACATCTGACAACGTGACACAGCGGCTTATGTGAAGTCATTTGTTTACACTTCGGGAACACTTTTTTATGTATGGGCCGGATAGGACGCTAAACACACCAATCGGAGAGACGTTCCGGAACACCGCGTAGTGACTACACAGTCTCGATATAAATACACACGCAAATACCTGTCATTCACGCACCTTGTGCGATCGGCAAATCACGCTGAGCGGAAGCTCGTGCTGGAGGCTCAAATATTCATCGGGGAAAACATTATCTGGAAGATGTGGGCCGTTTCTCGACAGCTCAGAACCGGTCGCCGTTCGTTGCGCACGAGGGGTGTCAGTTTTTTAGACAGCATCAACCCAGTCGTTTTGCGGAGACGCCATGTCACGATGCAGCTGCATTTAACCGTCCAATGCGGGCGTCACGCGAGAACAATTTTCTTTGCAGTGTCTACAAGTAAGAACCAGGTACGTGAGAGAGGACAATAACCCAACATCGGTGGGTTTGTGTGTCCAGCAGATACAAGCTTTGTACTACCCAATTCAACATTAGATGACATTTGGGTTTAGGGAGATAGTAGGGGGCCCATGTAATCGCGGTAAATAAAACAAGGGCAGGATGTAGCTTAAAGGCACCGCGGTCAGAACTAGGTGAAGCGTGGATACATGGTTCTGCTTGTGACTCCCACGAGTGCACGTCGCTGGAAGTGTTAACCTGCAGCTAAACATTCCTTCATACAGGAGCCGCTCGGATGAACATGCACCAATACAACAACGATGGTAATATGTTCACGAAGTAGGCGGCGATCATTGAATACAACATAACAATATATAGCCATGCAGAAAGAGCAAGAGCTTTCAGCGGGATATTGACACAGACGCTAAAGCCTGTCGGCTTCAAGTAGCAAGCAAACACGTCATATAAAAGAAAAAAAATAATAGACTCGCTTACATTGATTTGAGTTATTGGTCCAGACAATTTCCTCTTCCTCGGAACCACCGCGATCAGAACTCTCCAAGGAACTGGGGGTGTGCAGGAGTTCTGTGGTCCCAAGGGCTTTGGCCTTGGTCGAGGACCTGGACTGTGGCTTAGATCCGGTCTTGGGCGAGTCCGCGCGCGACGGCGTCGAAGCCTCCTTGCTCTTGCCGAACCATTTGCGCATCTTGCCTAGAAGCCCAAGCCGGGATGGCCACTGCTGAGCGCCATGGCAATGCCTCTGCCGCTCCTGGGCAGAGCGCTCCTCGCGCGTCTCAACGGCCAGCGCGCGACTTTACGAGAACCGCCTTCCTTCTTCGTCTTCGTATCGCTCGCTCCCAAGTATCACTTTTCAAAAAAGGCTTCCGGTAGAGTTGTCAGAGGCGGCGGTAAACACAAGCAGAGAAAAGATAAGACTTGTTGGCTCGTCTGGTTCGTTCCAGTTGCGAGCTTCCGGCTCTTGATGACGGGTCCCAGTCAGACAGTCGACAAAAACAAGAGGAATTAAATGCAGAGAGGTAAGGCTGAGTTTCACGGAATGCAGGTCTTCAAGGTTGACCCAGCAGTACTGAAGACTCTCTCAATAAAGTCACGTGGTTCTTCTTGACCTACCTTCCTCTTTGTCCACCTAGACAGACGACTAGGCCAGAACCCTCCTGCGCGTGGTATTCCTTCACTCAAGCAGACACAAGCTCCGACGATCCTTCCAGCAAACCAGTAGTAGTATACCGGTCTCGAGTACGGAGTAACACGCCAACACTGTCTTCCACTCACTGTCGTCCAGGTCTGTGGTTCCCCCAGAGGACGACTGCAGTATCTCGGTAACCACAATTCCGACAATCAACAACACAACAACGACTCACCACTTTCCGAGTAAGAAGACGCGTCCAGAACTCCCGCCGTAATCACTCTCCTCCTTCTCCACTCACAAGAAAGGCAAACATTCCAGCAACGACGCGTGCCTTCTAGACTCCGCCACCACCACTTCCAAGTCCAAGCAGGAGCACTGCGAATTACAATGAGTCGTAAAAAAGAGATGTTTTCCCGTTTGCCGGAAAGCCCGCTAGCGTTGTTGTTGTCGTCGTCTTCCTAGCCGCAAGGTCGCCAGAGAAGAGGACAGATCCGGTGCGACGGCAGGCAGCGAAGGCGAACGAACGTCTCGGAACGACGGCACCGGAGAGATTTACGTGAACGTCGCCGGTCCTTCGGGAGCACGTAACGGCAGGCTAGTGGGGGAGGAGTGCAATCGCGGGGCGTCGGAAATGCGCGGCGGTGTGAGGCGAGCGAGCAAGCGATCTTCCTCGGCGGTTGTGTAACTGTGCCGACGACGACGGAGACCGACTAGAACGCGACGGGGGCATCGCGGAAAGCTTATCGGTGGCCCGCTTGCGACGGCCAATCGCAGATGAGGCTCCGTCCCGGGACGTCTCGCAGACTCATGTCCTCGTGTCGCTATACTGCTCGCGAGGCGAGAACGTTGCCTTTAAGGCTCGCCTTTTAAATAGGATTTATTTTTTTGGGACCTGCTTTTAAGGCGGATTCGTTGGAGGGAGGAAGGGTCGTTGCCCCCCAAGTTGCATCACTCTACGGAATGAGGTATTGGCGAAGTCAAGTAGGTTTCGTAGATTCGATGCAGTACCTTGGCGGAATGCGCCTTGAGGCAGTGGCCGCAAAAACGGTTCGTGAAGCTACTAACCTTCCACGCTTATTCGGCTTTCCTGCCAGTGTTTAAGGACGATTTAAGCTGCACTAGGAACGCAAAGCTTAGGTCTCAACCTTTGAACTCTGACAATCAGAGATAAATGAAACAATAAAGCTATAGATCGTATGTTTCAGCTCATATTGTCCGGGGGTTTACAATAGAACTCTTTTCAAAAGTTTCGTTCTTCTACTCAAAGATAAAAACAACAACAAAGATCAATACAGCGGGTCAGTCAACATCGCAAAACACGCGCTTTGCAACCCCAAGATGCAGTAACATCACATGAACACCAGGGCATCACTGGAACGTTAGGACATTCCGAAGACATCTGCAGAATTACGAGTGCTGCCAGGTGACGTCACATAAGGTCTGGACATGCCGGCTCGAGGGTGTTTTTTGATCACGCCACTGTGAAGTGTTTTCACTTTTATCGTAAGCATGGAGTCATTCGGAGAACGGTCTATTTATTTATTTATTTATACCCTTGTTACACGGGCACACTTAACTGCGGTTACGCTAAGCCACAGTTAGCGCACAATACTTGCCGACAACATTCTACGGCGATGCAGTCAGAGCTATGGGCGAACGTGCGCGGCAGCATCTTGAGCACCCATCAAAGCAGTGCACGCGCTCTCTTCACTTCTTTTGAAATAGCTCTCCGAGGGTATAGTGCGGCATCTGTGCTGCCACGTAACCGCAGTTAAAGCTGAGTTAACCGCGGTTAAGTGTGCCCGTGTAACAGCGGTATTACAATACCCTCAAGGCCGTGAGGCGTTAAAGAGGGGAGTGGGTAACACAATATTGATGAATCACTTCGCGAAATGCGGCGGAATCCTCGATGGCTGCGATGTCACCGGGAAGGCCATTCCAGTCCACAATTGCGTCGGGGAGAAGGGCGTTTTGATGAGCTGTGGAAAAACATCGTGGCCGGGCTATTTTTTTCGGATGATCTAGTCTAGAGGATGAATAGGTTGGCGGAGTGAGAAGAGTCTGATGTAGTAGAGGGGAATAATAGACTTTATGCAATAGGCACAGGCGAAACATCTTCCGTCGGGTAGCAAGTAAGGGAAGAGAAAGGTCAGATTTCATTCGAGTAACACTAGAAAAACGTGAGTAGTCAGATGCAATGAACCGGGCAGCACGGTTTTGGACAGCCTCAATACTGTCTGTTAGTGAAGAAAGGTGAGGGTGCCAAATGGAGGATGCATACTCTAATTTTGATCGTACTAAGGAAATGTAAAGGAGTCGCTTTAGGTTACTTGGGACAGATCTGAAGTTGCGACGGAGGTAACCTAGGATTCGGTTAGCAGCAGACACCACTGAATTGATATGGCTGTCCCAAGAGAGGTTTTTTGTTAGAAGAACACCAATATACTTGTACGTGTCAGTTTGTTGTAGAGGAACATCATTAAGAGTAAGAGTAGAGGAAGTTTGGAAGGTGGAACGAGAGAAGCGCATGTGTTTACATTTGTTAACGTTGAGGGACATTTGCGAATTACTACACCAGTTATTAATAGAGTTAAGGTCATCTTGTAGCGCTACAGAATCAGAGGGAGATGCTATTTTACGATAAACGACACAGTCATCTGCAAACAAACACATTGATGAGGACACCTGGAGTGGAAGGTCGTTGATGTAAATAAGGAAGAGTAGGGGACCAAGGACTGTTCCTTGGGGCACACCGGATGTTACAGGGGCCAAGGCAGATGAGGAGTCGTTAGTATAAACAAACTGGCTTCGTTGCGAGAGGAAAGATTTAATCCATGATAGTACGTTGGTGTCAAGGTTTAACGATGAAAGTTTTAGTAGCAGCTGGTTATGTGGTACTTTGTCAAAAGCTTTAGCAAAATCAAGAAATACAGCATCGGTTGGTAAACCGGAGTCGAGGTTAGTAAAAAGGTCATGGGTTAAGCAAAGAAGCTGTGTTTCACAAGAGAAATTTTTACGGAAGCCGTGCTGTGCCTTGTTAAAAAAGGAAGTGGAATCGAGGCGAATGGATAGATTCTTATGGATTATGTGCTCCAGTATTTTCGAAGATACAGAAGTAAGAGAGATAGGCCTATAGTTTAAGGGAGATGATTTATTACCGCTCTTGTGGACCGGAATGACCTTTCCGATCCTCCAATCGTCAGGAACTGCCGCTGTATTCAAGGACTGCTGGAAAATTTTGGTTAAAAAAAGACTCGACGAACACACTGTGCCCTGCAGTATTTTAGAGTTGATGTTGTCGACGCCACAGGATGAAGACACTTTCATAGATTTGATAATTTTTACAATACCATCAAAATCAACATGTATCGGATCCATATAAGGGGCGTTGTTAGCAATGGTTGGTAACAATGCTAAAGTACGTGGGATGGTGAACTGAGCAGAGAACATGTTATTTAAAACTGAGGCACATTGACTCGCCTCTATTTTGTTTTTAAATTCATCTTCCAGGTTAAGTGGCGAGCGTGGGGTATGATTAACAACTTGCCAGAATTGGCGAGGGTTATTAAGGAGCAGGGATGGGAGGGTTTCCTCGAGCGCAACAGTTGGAGTGGATTGTGTTTTTCTTCAATACAGGAGTTTCCATGAACCATTTGTGGCCATTCTCTAGTGGTTGTACAGCGAGTGAAGATAACACATCTGCCACTGATACAGAACGCAGGGAAGGATATATTATCTCGACTTAGGAAGCACGCTGAATCAGTGTCACCGACGGCTTCGAGTTTGTGACCGAGGCGTCTCGGCTGTGTTCCGAGAGTCCTAATCGGAGCCGAGTTCCGTTATCATTCAGTTCACCAGACTGTTGTCTTGTGCTGATAAACGCGTGCTGGGAGAAGCAGCTCCCCCTAGGGCCACTAAATGAGCTTCGCTCATGTCTGAGTCCCACTAAAGCGACAAAGAAAAACAGCCGACACCGACAAGCCTCAAACAGGAGAATCATGCAACCGAAGGTATCTTTGGCAGGCTCGCAATCGCTCGTGCTTACTTCACGAGCACCGAGAGACGGCAAGCCTGCCGAGATACATTCGCGTGCATGCCGCACGTGTTTGAGGCTTGTCGGTGTCAGCTGTTTTTGTTTGTCGCTTTAGTGGGACCTAAAGTAACTGGATCCTGGGAAAGTAGCACCAAGTACCCAGTTCGGTCGCCATTTTGGTCTATGGAATGAAGTTTCTTCTCGACCTTTCCATTCTTGGCGATCCGATCTAAATTCGCGGTGACAGGTGGCTTTATAAATAGATTTCTCGTATACAGAGATGTTGCTATCCTCACACCGGCGGAACAAGTGCACACCTTTGCACCGCAACTATACAAGCGACGTCGGTCGGTGCCTAACGGCATTGAAAGATAGTTTTCTCGTTTTGAAATGCGCAAGTTGATTGTAAAAATTGATTGCATAAACAGTACCAAGGACGCTTATATTGGCGAGAACACTTTCGGTACGATGAAGCGACATGGTGATCTCGGCGCAGCTGGTTCAGAGCGACCCTTTCGAAGGTTCGAAGATTTGAAAAGACCCAAATGGCGATTGCCATGGCAACAGAGACTGATCAGTCAAGCGCCTTGAGAGGTTTTGGTCGTCTTTATGTGAGTCAGTATACGTTTGTGTCCAGTTACAGCGCGAAGACGGGGACAAGATAAAAGGTAACCGACAGGACACAGCGCTGACTCTACACTGGAATGTAATCGTGTTGGCATGTAGTATAAGTAGCATACATGTCTCCCGAATAAACCACAGAGAAAAAAAAACACACACAAAAAAACATGCATATCGCCTGCGTATTACACCACCGTCACTGGTATGCCCTCCTCGATGTGTTCTGTCGGCTACAGCGCTCTGTCCTGTCGTTTACATTTATGCTTTGTCTTCATCTAGGCGCTTTAAAGACGGTGTCAGAAAGCTTTAAAGACGGTGTCAAAAGCTGCAACCGATTTCGTTTTGCACTTCCACAATCTGTTAAAAAGAGTTTTTTTTTTTTTTTTTCAATACAGTTTTAAATTACTGCCAACAATGATTTCAAGCGCCAAGGTGGCTGAAGTGTCGTTACTTTGAAGCGTATACGTTTAGTGTTTTTAACACCAGCTGGACAGAGAGCCGTAGTGCTGCATTTGCTTCGTCACCGGCCCGGGGCCAGCGCGTGGGGCGCGGATTGGAGACGAGTGCCGTGCGAGCCTTAGACTCAGACTCGTGTTGTTCTGACCGACTGAACGCGAGTTGAACTCAAACGCTGACCGTAGCGCAGCCCAACACCGCGTAGAAGTCAAGGCCCGAGCATGACGTCATCGTTAGTGGACCCCCCCCCCCCCCCCCCCCAACCCGCCCCCAAGCGGCAAACAGCTCGACGAGAGACGCCGACAGGCGCGTCCGTCTCGGCGTCGCCGCGTCTGTCGCGTCTGTCGCGTCCGCGTCGTGAGAACGCTGCGAGATGCGCTGGCGGCGACGCTGACGCAAGCTAGGCGGCCCCGCGTCGATCCACTAGCTGGTTCATCACTTATGCGGACCGCAAGTTTCATCTGCTTCTGTTGCAGGGGTTGTGGTGAGGTCAGGACGCCCAGCTCGTTGACTCTGAATGAAGGATGTTGGGTAGACCTCAAGGCAGCTTGCTTTAAAATCTACTCCCAATCCTTCAATCAGAGCCAATCATCGCTTGGTGTTCTGACGTCACCACAACCCCAGCAAAAGAAGCAGACGAACTCGCG